AAAAATTACGTATTTTTCATTGTTTATTCGGTTAAACTTTTATAAATTTTATTTAATTAAAAAATATTTACTATACTTAACCATTCAGAATATGTAAATCTTTTTTTTTTTTTTGTAATAAAAAAAAAAAAAATAAATAAGATTATACGAGTATTTATTATTTTGCAATAGTATGTAACAATTATATATAATTATTATTAAATTTAAATAGTTATCTTTTAAATATGTATTAATATATCTCCACTATATATAATATATATTTGTATGAACCCATTAATAAAATTAACACACTTATTATTAATTACTATAAAAAATAAAAAAAGGTTAAAAATACATAAGATATTAGCTATTTGCATAACTTTATTCATCTGAAAAGTTTCATTTGCTATTTATAACATATTTTTTTCTTGAATTTTTCTTTATTAATATTAAAATTGTTCATGAAATGATACATTTTTAATTAAAATAAAAAATCTTTTAAGATATATATATATATATATATATATAAATATATATATACATATGACACAATGCGTAATTGAAAGTTTAAGAAATATTTGATTAAACAAAATTAACACTCAAATTTTATTTTTAATAGAATCAACCATAAATATTATTGTGTATAATAAAGTAGTACAATGAAATATATTCTATTTTAATTTGTAAAATTCTGAAATAAATTCCTTCACTTAACAATTATAATAAATCTAAATTATGAAAAGTAATATTACAAACAAAAGAATTCATAAAAAATAAACAATATATATACAATTATACTTGAATACATATGAAATAAGTTTAATATTTTTTATATATTTATATTAAATAATACTTAAAATGTTATGGCTATAGAATTATTTGATAAATAAAAATGGAAAAATGCATATATGTACCAATTATAAAAAAAAAATATTATCCTCCACATTGATTATTTATAATAAACTTCCATAGTAATATCTAAAAACGTATTTATTTAAATTCCATTTTATGTTACATCAATATTAAATATTCAATGTTCTAAAAAAATAATTTTATCAATCTATTAGTAAATTTTTGTTACAAATACGCTCAATTCATATATTTAAATGTTTTCAAGTTATAAAAAAAATATAAGTTCAAGAATTTACAAATTTCATTATGCGAAAATTTATAATTAATTTTAAAAATTAAATAGTATTTTCCAACTTTTTTTTTTTATTTACTAAAAAAAATATGTAGTCTCAAAATAATTTATATTTTTTTTTCCATTTAAAAAAAGAAGTTTGATGCAACTTGCTATCAATAAAAATTATCAAGTATAAAAAATTTATAAAAATTAATTGTTATCAATTTTCTTTTAACGAAAAAAAAAAAAAAAAATCTTTTATATTTTACTTTTCTAATTTATAGAAAAAGATGAAAAATTTTTAAGTTTTTATATAATAAAAAAGTTGAGGTGAAAAAAAAAATTTATATTTAAATGCATGTTAATTTGTTAAAAAAAAATAATTTTTTCATTTGAAGGCATGCAATTTTATTTCTGAACACATAGCTATATGAAAATTAACATAATTTTCAGTATAAATAAAATAAAATAAAATATATATTGTGTTTTTTTTAATTACCATTATCAAATTTTTTTTTTTTTCTAATGAAGAATTTAAATAATATTGTTTTTTATGAGGAATTCCAATAAATAATTATGTTACAGCAGAGCAAAAAAAAAAAAAAAAAAAAAAAAAAAAATTCAATACATGTTCAAATGGGTTACTGATTGAAAAAATATAATAAAACTTAGCATGCATGATTAATTTTTAAAAGTTTTCATAAATAATATTTTCTAACTATTTCAATAAATATTTTGTGCCTAGTTTATATATTATATGGTATAAAAATATTAGGGGGTTCATAGATATGATAAATAAAAAAAAGAAAGAGAAATAAATGCTTTTAAAGAGTTATTCTCCTTTCTCCTTTTTCATTTATTTATTTATTTTTTTTTTTTTTTTTATTTTTGTCACATTTTTTATTTTTCTAATTGAATTAAATTTTTTCCAGAATAAACTTTAACAAAACAAAGGGGGTTACAACAGTTTAATTATTTTTAAAAATTATAAAATTGTTATATTCACATAATGTTCACAAACGTTTCTATGCAAAAATAATTTTAAGGCAATTAAAATAAGTATTCGTATACACATAAAAGTATATGTGTATATTTATATATATATATATATTTATGTATATATAAATGTATAAGATTTATTAAAAATTTATTAGGAGATATTAATGAGATGAAAAAGAAAAGACAACATCAAATGTAAAGATTTTTGTTTTTTCTTTTTTTAAATACGCTATTATTTATTAAAATACATTTCACAAAATTTTTAATTATTAAATTTTTGGAATAAATACTTTTTCTCTATTAACTTCAAGTTATATGAAGGCCTAATTTTTATTTATTATATTTTATGGTAAATAATTTATTTAAAATCATATTAGAGAAATAAAAAAAAAATTATAAAATGAATGAAAATTCAATATTAAAATGTAAATTTTTTATTAAAACATTAAAGAAAGCCTTCTATTTACAGCTTTTAATTTTATATAAAAAAACGCTACTTTGAAAAAATTCATTAATATGTTTAATTAATAATAAAAAAAATGTGATAAAACATGAATTTTCTTTATAATATTTTTTTAATTAAAAATATTTTTAATTCTTTAATAGTTGCATAAATATTCTTCTCAAATAAAATTTTTTTTTTTCATTATTTAATAAAAAAATTCATTAAATAGATACAAGTTAAATTTTAATCATTTTCCTATTTTTCTTTTTTTGACATGAAGCAAATTTTAATGTTATAATATCAATGCTATTTTTTTTTTAAACCTTTTTTTTTTTTTTTTTTTTTGAGTATTTCCTTAGTAATTTTAATGTAAATTTAAGAATGGATTCTTTACTTAATGAACAAGATAAAAATAATTTATTAAAAGGAATTGGAAATAAAAAAATTGCGAGGTCATTGCTAGAAGTAATAGCTTTTTTATATCGTTAAATAGTTTTAATTTTTTTGTTTTTGAATACTTCTCTATTTTTCTTGGGAATTATATATATATATATATTTTTTATTCATTAAATTTTTTATTTAAACTGTAGATTATAATGAACAAATGTGATAATGCTTATTTTAAAATTACAATAGAAGACAAAAGAGAATTTTTTGGTTCTTTAAAATATGTGGATAAATATTTTTTATTTCTTACTGATTGTGAGGAGCATTATATAGGTATATAATAGTAAATATTTTTTTTTATTTCAAGATATAAAAAATTTAAATTTTTCATAAAAAAAATAATTTAGAATACATAAAATGTAAATTAATATATTCTTAGAATACTCTTCAGTATTTTAATATTGTATTTCAATTATTTTTCTTATTAAATATAGTTATACCAATTATTTCATTTCCTTTTTTTTTTTTTTAAGGAAATCAAATATATGTAAGAAAATGCGGTGATATTTTAATTCCATTAAAAATAATTAAATTAATAGAAATAAAAAAAAGTTATTTTGATAATTGTTATGAAGAACTGAAAAAGATATAAACTATTTTTCTTTTTTTATTAATAATAAAATATATAATATTTAATTATATTTTACATTTTTTATATTAAATTTATTATCCTATGGAAAATTAAGTAATATTATTTTTAAAAAATTTTTTAATATTTAAGGTTTTATGATTCTTCATCATTCAGAATTTCTTCTTTCATAACCTATGAGAAAATAATAAAAATAAAAAAAATTATAAATAATTATTTTAATATTTAGTTTCAATAAAAAATAAAATAAATATTATTAAAATTACTTCTTTGAGTTGAATATAAATTTCGTAATAATCATCTCCTTTTAGCATATCTTTAACGAAGTAACAATTAACTTTAATTCTAATCTAAATTAAAGAATAAAAACAAATAAATTTTTTTTTTTTTTTTTTCCATTACAAGGTATATATTTTCTTTTTACATATTATTATTTTAACAATTAAAATATTATATTATGCGTAATTACTTGTTCTAATGCTCCTTTTATAACACCACATAATAAACTACAATAATTTAGAGAAGATAATGATTTTGGTAATTCAACAAAATCACTTAATGGATTACTGTCAAAAATTATAGAAAAAATATTTGATTCTCTATTTATACAATTAACAGTTCCACTTATTCCTAGAAACATTTTAAATGCTACCTAAATTTATATTAAATTCGTTAAAATATATATATATATATACTTTTCATAAAAACTTAAAATTTCTTTCTGTTAATATTTATTTGATATTATAATATTTTTACTTAAATTTCTTTTTCTATTTAATTGTCTTATTAATATAATTTTTTTTTTTTTTTTTTTTTTTTTACTTTAGCTATAACTTCTACAGTTTCTTCAAAATTTTCGCAAAATGAAATATCAGATTTAGCTAGAAATTCTTCAATTAACCTTATACCAATATTATATCCCCTAAATGTAAAATATTATTAATTTTTGAATATATATATATATATACATATTTATATTTATATATGAGAAATTCATTAAATTATAGATAAATCACATTACATTTTTTCTAATTGTTCATTAACTTCATCTACTAATTCTAAATCTTTTAACAATTGGCTTACTAAAGCCCCATATGTTAATGATAACAATTCCGAATTCTGTCATGTAAGAATAAAAAAAAAAAGGGGGATGTTAAAATTATATAATTTTTTTTATCCTTATAGGTATTATATTGTAGTTCTTTTAAATATTTAATTTTTTTATAAATATTCATTTGATTTTACCACTTTTTCTAATTTTGAAAAAACGGCTTCTCCATGTTTTTGATATTTATCTTTTGACATTTTTTTTTTTTAAACTATACAATGTTGTTTTTTTGCATAATTTTGTGTATAAAGTAATACACAATTTTCCTTTTTTTGAAAAATTATTATTTTGTAAATTTTAAAAAAATAAAAACAGATGAGTGAAAAAAATTATTCTTTATATATTTGTGTTAAAAAAAAATTATCACATATAATAAACACAAAAGAATATTTAAATCATACAAAAATCATCTAGTATTTGTTTTTTTTCATAAAATAAATTATGATTCTTCATCTGTTATTATATTTTTATTTCATGTATATTCTGAAATTATAATTATTTTTTTACATGGGTATGCTTCTAATATAAAAAAATTATAAACTTTTAAAACTTACATTTTTTTTTAACAAATAATGAATAAGTTTTATTCTTGTAATTATATGTAATCATTGAAGTTTATTATTTAGTTTAAGTAAAAATTTTTATTTTTTCTTATATCTGCATAATGAAAACATTTTATAATTTTTTGCTTTAAAGTTTTTTTTTTTTTTTTTTTTTTTTTTTTTTATATTTTCCATTT